GTGTGGTAATTCCCACTTGACTGACACAAAAAACTTGGGTCAATTCCATCCAGTGTGTGCTGGGAAGATTGTTTTATGGAAGAGTTTAACAGTTTCCCACTAAATTTGTTTAAAAACAGTGGGAGGAGCTTACACTGTGTTGCCAACTGGGGTTTGGGCATCCTAAGTGTTAGTACAAAAACTGCAGTGAAACTGAGTACAAATATTGTATTCAGCATTTAAAGTTGTCTTGCTTTAATTTACCAATATATTGCCTTATTTACCTACCTTTCACTTTAGTTCTGCTCGTAGTGAAGTTATTTGAAGTCCCAACAAAAGATAGTCCAAATAATTAGCTACATTACGAAGGAAAATGATTCAGTCTGACCAATAGAATTTTTTAAAACAAGGTATAATTTACATTTTAAGTCGATGAGGGTGTTGTCTCTTCCAACCAGCAGTTTAAGCAGTTGCTTTGCAGCCTTAGCTGATTATTTGCAACACCTTTGTGACACCTTCAACCTCAATTATTGCCTCATCTTTCTTTCTGCATCGTACAGGTCTTGCCTTTTTCTCCTCTGTGCTGTTCACTTTTAGTTACGTTTTGTTTCTGTTGGGCTCACCATGGATAACTTGCAAGTGCTGTATGAATAATTAGCTTTTCTGGCTTATTTTCAATGAGGTGATTTTATTTCAGTGGCTCTTATGTGTACCTGAGAGCTGTGCCTGCTGTTGGAGTAGAGTTCAATTAAAAAAACTCCCTAGATCCAGAAATGAAAGGTTAAAATGCTATGATCAAGGGACCAGAGAGAGAGAAAATTATCTACTGTTTTAAGCACTTGAAATGTTTGTTCTTATGTCTGCTGATATTCCTGATGCCTGAGCTCAGTGCTTACCACATCTGATTATTGCTGGAACAGGAGTTTCCAGAACTGCAGCAAGGTGAAAAAGTGTATATAGTGGGAGAAAACAATTCCATGTGATATTTTTTCATATGGCCTTAGTGTTGCTGTGAAACGCTTCATCAGTTTCTAGAAGACACTTTGAAATGGTAAAGGTAATTTTGCCAGGCAAGCACTACTCTAGATGTAAAATAGAATCATAGAATCAACCAGGTTGGAAAAGACCTCCAAGATCATCAAGTCCAACCCCACTGTGGTTACCAGACCATGGCACTAAGGGCCACATCCAGTCTCACCTTGAAAACCTCCAGGGATGGTGAATCCACCACCTCCCTGGGCAGCACATTCCAATGCCTGAGCACTCTCTCTGTAAAAAATCTCTTCCTAATATCCAACCTAAGCCTCCCCTGGCAGAGTTTGAGTCTGTGCCCTCTTGTCCTGCTGCTGGTTGCCTGGGAGAAGAGACCAACCCCCACCTGACTCCAGTCTCCTGTCAGGGAGTTGCAGAGGGTGATCAGGTCTTCCCTGAGCCTCCTCTTCTCCAGGGTGTAGAAGGCAAAGGTTATGGAATTTCACTCCCTTCAGGGTGGTTGTTTTGTATGAGTCTGTGTTCTGAGATGTAAACTGCTCATTTCTGAACAGCTGTAGAATTTTTAACCCCACTTGCAACTCTGTTGGGGAAGGGGCTGTGACTTCAGCATAGCTCTGTCTCTGCTGTGTCTGGAAGAGCTCTTGATCCCAAGTAAGTGTGGGAAACTTTGTACCTGTTGGACAGGTACAGAGATACAGAAAAAAACCCTCAGCCTTAACCTCTCTTCTTGTTGTAATCTTCTGTATTTGGTATAGAGATTTTAATGGAAGTGGAAAGCGTAAAAGAGTAAATTGGATGAAGAGAGTTTGTCGGGAGGGAGTTCTGATGTTGGTCTTTATTGATCATGGAGATGAGCAGTAATAATACTGAATCCAGTGTGTGGCACAAGGAAATTTTTCCCACTTGTGTTATCATTTAGGCAAATTCTGTCTTTTGTAGGGAATATGTTGGTGTAGTTCTTTGATGTAATTTTTTTTTCAAGAGGAATAAATTCTCTGAGGTCAGTTTTTAAGCTACAAATGACACACAGCTCAGTTCCTTTTGCCCCTGAAGTTCTGATAGATCTCATATCCTGTGTGGTTTTTTTGGCAGACTCTTTGTTTATACTTTTTAGAGTATGAAATAACAAAAAAACAAACTCTGCATTATGCTAAAATGGGACTTCCTTGTGCCCTGTTCTTTTCCCGGTGCCGAAGGAAAGAGAATGTTTGTTTGTATTCTGAACTGTACTTCACCTTTGAAAGGAAATGAGTTTAGCTATTACCATACCCTCCTGCTTCATGTAAACTACAGCTCTTGTGGCTCTGCCATTAGAAGCTCTGCCTTAAAAACAGCAATAGGTTTTTGTTTATATTCTTTTGCCATGGAAAACAATTAGGGAACTTTAATTACTTGTCGCATAATTCACCTTTTTGGGTTCAGTTTCCATCCTTTCCCTTCTTTGTGCTGGTGTGTCTTGGCTTCTCTCTGAACAGCTGTGTCCTACCATCCAGGCACATGGAAAGCTAATGCATCTGTCTGGTAGGTTTTCAGAATTGTAAATGTCATTGTTTTCAGCTCAATGCTGAAGTTTGTGTGTAGCTGAAATTAGAGAGACACAGGAAGGTATTGGAACAGGAGGAGATTCTAGTGATTTAGAATCATAGAATTTAGGGGT